ATACGCTACATAATCATGTGAAATTGCTTTTAAACAGCAACAACGACGCAGCTGCCTCGAGCTCGATAACCTTTTATAAAATATGTATAAAAACAAAAGAGTTTTTATATCATGACTAATCAATGCCTTGATTTGTTACTCATTAAATTATATGTATATACTCGTACATATACCAGCTCTTAGTAATCGGATTACCGGAAAGTGCCTAAACATAAACCCTTGCCTGACCGAATACATATAGCCTAGAAGATCTTATAAATTCAATTACAGAATGCGTCATATAGACGATTCCCATTAATTCTTAAGCAAAAACCTTCGAAGTGCATTCGTTAATAAGTTTACTCGAACACGCGAGAAAAGAAAAGTCGGCTTTCCTTTGCTTTCACAATACACAAGGCAATATTCTGGGAATTAGCGAGCCAAAGTTCAAAGCACCACCCGCTCCAAACAAGAATCCATGGTGGTTGGTGGTTTGAGTGGATTTGGTGGTGCTCCATAAATTAGAGCAACTTGGCAATATGACTAGCCAGTCGGACAGTTTTATGGCCACGGAACACACATCGAAAATGCAGTTTACAAATGCTGAAAGACCCCGTTTTCCACCCTCTTCGATTGCAAAGAAAAACCCCTTTGCTTTTTCTTCGGTTTTTTTGGGGGCAAAGTTCTTCAGTGTGCCAGTGGGCGGTTTCGCTTTTGTTTGCTGCTTTTCTTGTTGTTGAAGCACCGATTAGAAGCTGATTATGGCGTTATTAGGTGACCTACAAAGCGATTAATGTTTGAAATCGAGAGTAAATCACTAGATTTTAAAAATTAATATCAATTTGGGCTAAAATACCATATTTTGGAATACTCTTTTGATATTTTGATATTTTTTCTGATATTTGCCCATACTAACCATCCCTATCACTTTTTGACGGACTTTGTAAAAATAAATTTTTAGGCAAATTTTCGCAATTTATGTAAGGGGTAACATCATGAAAATTTGCAAAAAAAAAAAAATGGCAAAAAATTTGCCTTCCTATTTTGAAATGACAAAAAATTAAACCTCCCAAATTTGAATCCAAATCGATGGAAATTAAATAAGAAGCTCGACGAGGTATGATATTCCATATGGACCATTATTTCGAATGTTGTGATCAAAATACTGATTATTTTGTCACAAAAACGACGGAAACGAATTTTGGCAAAAATTTCAATGTTTAAGATGGTTTTTTGTCTATAACTTGACTAAAAATAGTCAGACAGCGAACAAAATACCGTTTTCCACGAATACGCATTATTGTATGCAAAGTTGCAAGGCCCTTCAGATTCAGGTCACATCCCCCCGCATTCCCATGTACACATATGTATATACATATATGAGCATACTTCCCCAGCTCTAATACTCTAATATTACAAAACAACTTTCAAATGGGCCGCCAAACGCACAGAAAGACGGGTGAAATTCGCGGCTCATCTCGAATTGCATTTGCATTTGTTTATCGGCAAGCGAAATGAGGTTGAATTTCCCGTCGTCCCGCCGACAAATCCATATATCATTTTACACCAGTTGAAGCAGCATCACACCTCATTTCATCCATGTAAAAGTGGCACCGAGATCGGGGCAGAAATGGCAGAGGAACTCAAGTCAGGAGAAGATAGAGTGGAGATTATTTTTAAATCCAGAGCCGGACGGACGATTGACCGAAAGTCCGGGCATCCGGGCATCCGGGAATCCGGCGGAGTGGCCGCGGTTTGGGACTCCCAGTTGAATGAACCACACCGGTGCCGAATATAACACAGATAATTATAATGAGAGCAGATGGTCTCGCATCTTCGGGCTGAATTCTATGTAGTATATAAATATATACATACAAATACTTATGTATTCTGCGTGAAGAAAAGGTAACTGACCAACACTCTGCTGAAGAGAAATATGACAAAAGACTAAGATTCCAAGTGTTAAGCTACTAGAAGTAGAACAACTCTATTACAATAATATTAAGGTAGTTCTTTGAGCAATTACCTAGTGTTCATGATTCATGGAAATAGAAATAAAACACACCAAATTAACTGGTAAATGCATAATGTGCCATCTAAGATTTCCTAGTTCTCCTGAATGTTTTTGAATGTGCAACATAGTTGCCTGGGTATAAATACTGGATAAAAAAAAGCCCAAAAACTGTGCCAAGTAAGCAACAATAAATTATCTGCAGAGGCAGAAGAGAATGAGATCATTTTTGGACTTCTCTCACGCTTTTTCTTCCAGTTTTTGTTCGCTGTGCTCGCTGTTGTATACATTTTGTTAACCAAATGATTCTAGCCACGTAGAAATTGTTCGAATTTTCACCGGCTGGAAGAGCGGAAATATACAACAAAATGCGTATAAACTGGAGGGCAAAATGCAGGTCAGACCAATGAATTAGAAACAAAGCAATGGCAAATAAACTGCGACAACGAAGCGGAAATGGATTATGATAAACCCAGTAAACAACCAAGAGCGTAAATAATGTTATCAAAGTAAGTGCGAAATGTACAAAATACAAAATACGAAATATATTCAAATAAATACGAATCCCCAGACTCATAAACGGCAATCATTCGGTTAGTTTGGTGGGGGTCAGTATCGTTATTCTCACTTGGCCTTGCTGCTCAAATTGCTTGAATTTGAATTGAAATTCAAATGCAGCACGGAGCAAATTGTTTATGATACCCTCGCATTGAAAAGGTTGTGCACGAATGGTAATTTGAATGTCACGTTCCTTGGGCAAGATAATTTTTAAAAGAAATACTGGAATTCTAGTTAATTTATTTGTAAAACACAGATAAATTCTTTCTAAAACAAAGTTATTTGATTTATGTATGGCTCATTAAGCTGGTAAACATTATCTAATCAGGCGATGCATCCAGTCATATTGTGTACGAAAAGACCAAAGGTGTCAAAAGAAAGTAGTCTTTTTAAATTTGAGTGTCGTCTACAAATAGCCCTCATTACGGCCCACAAAAAAATTGTGAAAGTACCACAAACAATACAATTACCACCCGCAATTCCGCGCATTTTAGACTCACCTGTTGCTGGATCGGCAAACGACAATGACGTGTTTTATTTGCCACTTGATTTGAACCGGTTCTCCTTTTCGGTCACTTCTATTTGCTTAATTTGTTTTATGTTTTCCTTGCTGGTTTGCTTGGTTTATTCCACTACTTCTAAATAAAATAAAAAAAAGCCAACGAACGTGTGTTTGTTAACCACTTTTCACAGAATTCTGATTGATGCACAGTGCAAAAAAAAAAAATGTGGAAAAAAAGAATGCGCAACACGCGGAGCGTAGAATGCTTATCTTATCTTATCAGCGAGTGGATGGCAAAGGGGGAAAAGAGGGCCATTTCTCATTATCAACTGATAATGCGTACATATCGATATTTGCTCTGTTTGCTGTTCGCCCTTTTGCTTATTGTTTTCTGACTGCTCTGTTAGTAATAGTCACCAATTGTTTAGCATTTTGAAGCATTTCTAAATGTGTCCAGCTGACGTCAGAGCTTCAAAAGGTGTGCGATCTTCTGAATGCACTGGAAAAACTAGGGGCACCTACTTTACATTTTCAATGACATTACACAATAACATAAATTCTTTGGGATACTGCTGAAAAATATTGTTATCTGGCGTATATTTTCGTTTCTTGGCTTTTTAGATAATCATATTACAAGTTTTCGCGTCAGCTGCAACTCAACTTTCATAAGGTTACCTATTTTCCTTCAGTGCACCTGAGTCATCTGATCGCTAAAACTGTTTCAGTGACGTCATGACTTTAAATGACAATAGGAAAAAGAGATGGCGATAAAAGGGTTGCACTTGAAATGAGCCAAACAAAAAGAAAAACAACATCAAAAACAACAACTGGTTCACCTTCAGCTGATCAGCGGCTAGTGTCATCTCTCTCCCACACTCCATTCAAATTTCAAACAATTACAATTCTCATTCTGTTCATTTTGTTCTACACTTGCAAAAAAACAAAAAGGCCAACAACAACAAGCACAGGCACTTAAAAAAAAAACTATGCGAAGAGTAGAGTGTGTATTGAATTACGCGCTATTTATATTAATAAATGGCACACTGTTCGCATTTTCACCGTTAGTGCGCGCGTCACTTACGAAAAAGGGTGGAAGGCAAGGGCGCGGAGAAGGAGCGCGCGTACACTTACGCCAAAATGCCGGCAAAACAAAACGAAAACACGGGTGTATAGGATTCGATGGATGGAAACCCTTACCAACGTCCGTCTTGTTCAAAGTTCACTTTTCGACTGACCAGACTCGGCATTCGGTTGCGCGGCCAAAAATACCAAAAGCCGAGCGCAGTGTGACCGTTCGCCGGTGCAGCGTAAATACCAAAAAGCTCGCACGCTGCTGTTACCGTCACACTACAGCGAAAGCTTTTTGGTAACATTCAAAATAAAGAGCTTTTTAAAACTTTTTTTTAATTAACTTAATTTGTTTTTTTAACTAAATTATTAATATGTTCTGCGTTTTTTTTTAAATATATATTTCTCGCATTTGGTTTACACACGGTACGCCGGTGCAGCGCACATTCCAAAAAGCTCTCACGCTGCTGTTAGCGTCGCACTACAGCGAAAGCTTTTTGTTAACATTCAAAATTAACAGCGTTTTGAAACACAATTAGCTACATTTACTTTGTAACTAAATTATCATATGTTCTGCATTTTTTAAGAAATATATATTTCTCGCATTTGGTTTATACATAAGTAAAGTACATAAGCACATACATAAAATGAATTTATGCGGTGTTTGGAACGTTGTCAATAACATGAACATGAAAACACAAATTCGCTTGCATAGACAACAGGAAAAAATATATACATATATATAATACTATTTAGGCCCATCGGCGCTCCAAGCCTTAATCCTTCAGGCTGGTCACCGAGCTGGTTGAAGAGCCACTGGACGCGCGGGCAATACTGATGCTACCTCAGACGTAGTGACCCATTTCTGATCCTCCGCCGTGATCAATGGTTTCGCCTCATCTTCTTATGTCCTGGTAGTCCACCCCTTAGGTGCCGCTGCTTGTCTTGCTGCTCCTTCTCCAAGGTCTTCATGTCGGACTCGTCTGGGTTCGTTTTCTCCAACTGCTCCGGCTTCTTATTCTGCTGGGACCGCTTGTAGCTCTTCCGCTCGTATTCGCCCACCAGTTTGCAGCAGTTAGACATGTTCTCGTATGGCTCCCAGGTGGCCTCGACCATGGGAAAGCCCAGCCACTTGACAAAGTACTGAGCGCGCCCGTTCTGAACACGCTTTGCGAGGATCTTCTCCACTTCCCATTCACCATTATGGCCATTTGGGAGCGATGCATCGTCCTCGGAGGCATCATCTGATGTGATGGGGATGGTGTTGAATTTACGAGACATCTTGTTAAATTTATGGGGAAAAATCACAATTCTTTTGAAAACGAAATCAAACGACTTCACAGGAAAACGGAAATGAAAAATTCACTTGTCGCTTCTTCCTCAAACTGCCAACTCGCCGAAATCTGCAAGGGCTGCATAACAAGTTTAGGCACTGTTGCGGTTTCCAGTCACGATATGCAAATAGTCACTTAATTCTTTTCAAAGCATTTTTTTTTTTAATTTATATATACGTAAATATTAAAGTCTTAAGCCTATTTAAATTATGCATAGAACACACACCGTAGGATCTTGTAAAATAGTATGTTTTTTACGCGGATAAAGCGAGCAAAAAAAAAGAAAGTATGAAATTAACGTCTTTTAAAATTAACTTAGTTTCTGCAAAAATAAGCATTAGTGGGAAAGACTGCATTCGGAATTGTAATGGAAACTAGTTAACCTCGAGTGCACTACATTTAAGCGCGTTGGCAGCCTTCAAGTTCGCTCGAGTTCTTTTTGTTTTAACTCGACAAAACTGGAAAATATCGTTGGAAAGCGCTTCCAGGACGGTCGTCTGCAGTTTCTAGTCAAGTGGCATGGTTTTGGGGAGGAAGAGAACAGCTGGGAGCCAATGGAAGGAGTGGGTCACCTCTCTTACCTGCTGGCCGATTTCGAGGCGCAGGAATACAAGCGCAGCCAGTTGAAGGAGGCGCCGAGGAGTAGCGAACAGTCCAACCGATCCTCCATCAAGGCGACAAAGCGCCGGAATTCCCGAGCGGTTGACTCTGGAAAAGCCAAGAGAGTCGCATCCAATCCTAATGCAGCCAAAGCCGCGATCAGTCCATAGCCCTTGGCCAAGGGCCAAACGCGTCGACGCCAATAGCGCTATATGCCCACGGACGACTCCAGTGGCCATGCACCATCTACTTCATGGAACACAGCTGCAGCGGACCCAGGAGCAACAGCTGAGCACAAGAGCTCGTTGAACGGCTGTAAGGAGCAACCATCAGAGAGCTCGGTGGTAGATCATCCAGTTGCTCTCGCGCCGGAACGCATCCATAACTCACCGCTAAATATGGAGCAGCCGCAGGTGGAAGGTGTGGAGCTGCTCCTGCCCCTTCCGGGCACTTCAAGCAGTGCATCTGCGCAGGAACCGGATTGGAGATTGCCACCGTACAAGAAGCCCTTTGGTTTGGCGCGCGGCCTGGAGCTGAAGAAGGTGCACCACTGCTTCCTTGTTCGCAAGCAGCTCTTTCTGTTCGTCAGCTGAAAGGGTTGATCCGTGATGGACGCTGTGCTCCTGAGGGACATACAGCATGCATTCCCAATACCAATAATAAAATACTTTGAGAGTATTTCCGTCGTAAATCACGAGGACCAAGAGGAGAGACGGAACCACAATGTTGCATGAACTCAAAGAGCGCGCATTTCAAACTTGGTAGAAAGTATGCTCAATATTATTGAACTCAACTTGAACTCTTAGCTTTTAATATGTTTGTACGCAGCTCTTTGCGGGCGCACACGAATCTATCATCACCAAGCGATTCATTAAGCTTTTCACGACATGTGACCAGATTTTATTCGCCTTCCAAGCTGAGCTTTCGAATCTGATGTTGGTTATATTTTGGCGCCCTTCGCGCAGCCTCACTTCTACCAAACAAGTAATGCGCTTTTATGCACAACGTAAACACTAAAGGTCAAAATCGGAAGTCATTCGCGCTCCTAAGTAAGCGAATGTAAATAATGCATTTAAGCCAAGTTCAATGAGCCAAGTGAATAAATGAATTAAGCGAGAGAACCGGTTGTTTTTGCTTGTATTGCTTTCTTTCCGATTCTGGCTGCTATCAGAAAAGCCCAAAACTCGTGTCACAAGTGTCATGAAGCATCTGAACAGATAATACGGCTCGGGAATTGAACAACAGCGTTTGTTTTTAAAATTAATAAGTCGAATGTGGCACGTGCGCAAAAGCGACACTATTAAAAAAGTATATGTGCTCGAATCACCATTGTTTTTTTTATTTTTTATTTCAAACAAAAAGTTCAATTGAATTGCAAAGCAGGTAAGAATCCATGTTTATAAGGAATGTACTATTAATGCTCCAAGTTTTTGTGTTTCTAGAAAAATATATGTATTTCTGATCTATGGCATATTGAGTCGGTTTTCTCAGTGTGTCCGTTGGCTTTCGTTTCAATTTAATTGGCACTTGGAAGTTGCCCGGCTGGTTTCTGCTTTCCGATCTGGGATCTCCAATCGTTGTGCTGTCTCCACTGTAGTCCGCATCTGGCGCTGATCAAGAAAGGAGGATGAGCAGTTCCAATTCCATACACACCACCCGTGTGTATCTGCACCTTCTGGTGTGGCTGCCACTCCTGGCAGGTGAGTGCGATTTCTAAACTCGTCTGTGGCAAACCATCAAAATTGTAGAAAAGTAAATGCAGATGGTTAGTTCAACTGGCAAATCACAGGGGTTTTCCCAGTTCGGCCGAAATGTTTTTGTGGGATTTTCTAAATCAGAATGACTCAGATGTATTTCACATCTAATGGTACTTTTTCGTCGCAGTCCAGGCCACACCAGCCTTAAGTCCGCAGTCGCTGCGCGGCATCATCTTTCCCAAGGAAACCTTCGATGAGTGCCAACTGGACGACCTGGCGAGGACGAAGGGCACCTGTCGGCGCATGGAGGACTGTCCCAGTGCCCTGAACGGATGGCTGAAGCGACGCGAATCGCCCAAGACCTGCTACTTTGTGAGGTTCGACCACTTCGTGTGCTGCGCTCCGGCTGCATCTGCAATTGTCACCCGATCCAGCCAGCAGGGTAAGCAATCCCAGGCAAATATTTGCTATTTGCTCGATCTTATTTTCTTTTTAAACTGGTTTAAGATTTCGGGTTTTCAAAGACTGGCCACTTAGTATGAGTTATTATCGCTATTTTTGTTGAGTTTGGTCTTATGTCGTAGTTATTTTTGATTGCCCAAACACAGCAAAGATCATAAGTTACAGAAATCAATTCAATCCGAACTCGTATTAATTTCGAACATGGTAATGCAATGTGTTGTGATGTCATCCATGACTAACGAGAGCATCCCCCTTCGTGTTTGCATTTCCTCAGCCTGTAACGATCTGAACAATGTGGCAGAGATCAAGGAGAGCGACAAGGTCTTCGAGGTCTCGGTGGTGGGCGGCATGCCCGCGCGTCCGAGGGAGTTCCCCTTCATGGCAGCACTTGGCTGGCGCTCCAACTTCGATCAGCGGATATACTATCGATGCGGCGGCGCCCTGATCGCCAACAACTTTGTACTGACGGCAGCCCACTGTGCCGACTTGGGCGGGTAAGTTGGTTCGCTAATCGGATCGGATGACAATCTCCGAATGGGGGTTTTTCCCCGTTTGCTTGCTGCTCTGAGGTGCCGGGTCAATGTCGATTCATCGCTGATATTCGTCTTTGGATTCAGATTATACAGCTCATAATTTTATCTCTCCCGCTATTCCAGTGAGCCACCCAATCAGGTTCGCCTCGGTGGCGATAATCTCACCATGGCCATGGGCGAGGATATTCCCATCCGGCGCGTGATCATCCATCCGGATTACAGTGCCAGCACGGCCTACAACGATATTGCGCTCCTGGAGCTGGAGACGGCGGCCAAGCCGGGACTGAAGCCCATCTGCATTTGGACGCAAAAGGAGTTAGCCAACACGCTGGTTACGGCTATTGGATATGGGCAGACCAGCTTCGCAGGTCTATCCTCCGCCCAGCTGCTGAAAGTGCCGCTGCTGAGCGTGAGCAACGAGGAGTGCCAGCCCCACTATCAGAAGGCTCAGCTGGCCGAAGGCGTGCTGGGCACGCAGATGTGTGCCGGCGACATAACCGGCGAGCGGGACACCTGCCAGGGCGACTCCGGTGGACCCCTGCTCATGCGGGACGGGCAACTGAGCTATGTGGTGGGCATCACTTCACTGGGCCAAGGATGCGCCAGTGGACCGCCATCGGTGTACACCAGGGTATCCAGCTTCGTCGACTGGATCGAGAGCATTGTGTGGCCGGCGCAGCAGGTGACGAGCGCATCAAAGCCCATTCAGAGGACCAGTTCCAGTCCCGAATTCGATCTGAGGGCGACGGTCAGTGGTTTGTCTGAGAACTCTTAAAATATACAGGAATAGATGTTCAAAATGATCAGATGTCCAGCAATCCAACTGGTTATTATAAGAAATAATTCGAAAAAAAATGTTTGAAGGCAGAATTACATATATTCTATGTAAATACAATTTCAAGATGCATGGGAAATATTAATTTTTGTACTTTTAGGTTTTAAAACAATATTTAAATTACCTTAAGCAATAATTGAGATTTAAATAAACAAAAAAAATGTTTATATCAGTCCAGCAGACTGCGTAAACTTTTCATGTATGGGTGCTCCCTGTCATCGATTTTATAGCCCGTTCGGATTGAATTTCTTGTTTGGAATTATGTTGCTGATTCAGCCGATATCAATTGGATAAACAGCTGCACAGAATGGATATATAAGTGGCCAGAGCCACAGGCCATGGACAATTGAGCACGGATCGCTGGCCACCGAGGATGTACCGCACAAAGACTCTCCTGCTAATCCTGACAAGCGCCTGGATACCGTCCCTGGCCTATCTGCCCGATGTGAACATCTTCACCAACTACCGAACCGAGGTCTATAATGGTATGTATTCATAGATTGAGTGTGGTGACCCAATCGAACATTCCTACACATGGCTAGGCATTCCGTCGGAGATTGATACCACACCGTTCGTGCGAATTGGGGACAACTACTACTACATCGAGCCAATAAACAAGGTGAACTGGTTCCAGGCGGCCGGCGCCTGTCGCATGATGAACGCCCACTTGGCCTCCATCGAGGATAAGCCGGAAATGGAGGCGCTGATCAAGTACATGAAGGCCAAGGGGTTCAAGAACAACGACTACTTCTGGATATCGGGCAATGACCTGGGCACCGAGGGCGCCTTCTACTGGATGTCCAGCGGCCGGCCGATGACCTATGCCCCCTGGAACGGTCCCAAACAAATGCCGGACAACTACGGCGGCAACGAGAACTGTGTCCACATGTTCGCCACACGGGAGATGATCAACGATGCCAACTGCAAGATCCAGATGCTGTACGTCTGCGAGGCAACGGAGCCCAAAACTTTCAAGTTCACCTACATTAAGTGGTAGTATTCGATTGGTTCTAAATAAAACCTGGTTTACATAAAAATATTACTGTTTTTTTTAATCCAGTAGGGCAAATCCGACTTCTGCTATAAACAGCATAGTATACTTTTCGGGGCAGTTCAAAGTATTAATCCTTCAAGTTACGCCAAATTATGATTAAAAACACAAACATTTTAGTTTTTGCCGGCTTTTATTTGTCGCATCGTTTTGCTTATCGCTTCCGTTTTTCTCTTTTCGCTAATTATACAATCAGTTAGATTTACGATTTTTGCATACTAAATTGTTACGATTCCGATTCTTACAGAGCTATTGAAATCTATCATATACATGTATCGATCGATTCATTTGATTCACTTGAATTGAATTTAGTTGCGTTAAATGTATTTAATTAAATTTAATTTAATTTATTAATACCCACTAATATCGCGACGACAAAAAATGTGTGTTTCGAGTATATGCATGTGTGTATATAACAACAACGGCACACGGTACGTATGCGTAATATGGAAGTTGGGAGCTGTGAATGGAACGCAAACGCAAACGGAAACGAAGGACAATGGGCAATGGACAAGGGCGAAATGATTTGGAACGCATGGAATCCAGTAGGGAAATGAGTTAGTTTTATATTTAGTTCTGCGGCTTACTTACTAGGCTAGGCGAACAGTGATCGATATTGAAAAAATCTACGACATAACCTCAACATTCATAGCGAGTATGTGTGTGGAGTGGTGTATTTGTGTGTGTGTGTGTGTGTGTGTGTGGAAGTGCTTACATATGCTCTGGTACACAGTTATGTAGTCTAAGTAGTTGTCGATTTACGATTTACCATTTACGAGTCTTACGTGGCTAGATCGCTAATTCTAAACATTTGTTTGTCCACATTAATCCACAAGTTATGCATATAAATATTGTATATTTATCAATTAGTTAATATTAGTAACTACATACATATAATTCATATAAATATTCAACAGACGAGTGCATAAATTTAATAATTCTTATATGTTACTCTCGCTCGCTCTCTCTCTCTTTCTTTATTACTTTATCTCGCTCTATCGCAACCGCTTTCTCATTCTTACTAACGGCTCTTTGTCTCGTCTTCATCAACTTTCTATGCTAACTTTACCGTTAAGTGTCCTCTGTCCGGGTATCTGTGTGAGAGCTTATGCGCTTGTGTGTGTGTGTGTGTTTGTGATGCGAGTGAGAAAGTATGTGTGTAAGGTGGGCTTCAAAGCTGCAAGCTTGTAGGAGTCGTCGTGCGAAAGGGAGAGAGCACCTTCGGCCTTTGCCAACACTGGACATCGCTTTATTCACACTAGGCAACAGAAAAAAAAAACTCGATTTTTCCAAAATATTGAGGGTCTTCTAAATGACTGAAAAGAAACCAAGCTCTTTAAACTGAAAACATATACTATTTGGTACCTAAAGAGAGCTTCCTCTCTTTTTCCTATTTATGCCTTTTCACAAACGTTTCAAAAATAAAAATAAACATTAGGTTTTGAACCACTCAAGGTCGATATTTCAGATTCAATACTATGAACTCTTAGCTCACGATCCAAAAACTAGCTTAATGTCGCAACTTTACACAAATATGTCCGAGAAGGAAGCCAAATGAGAAGGTAAACCCAAGTAATATTGAACGGAAGTTAAAATTTAAAGATAATTTACAAATTTGCGCGATAAGCTAATACATTAATTATACAAACAAAGAATATGCTATTACACGATAAAAAAAAATCCAATTAAAATATTGCAACATGTTTTGATGTACATTTTAAAGCCGTTTTTTTGTCATTTACGATCTCGAAGAATCAGAAATGTTGCACATTCAGAATGGAAATTTAAATGTTGCCACCTAGTATTTCAGAGCTCTATGTTCAAGACTCGATTGACAAACATATTCGTAGAGTATTTAGGTGAATTTACAATTAGTTGGGTTTTTGTTTCTGGTTTGGTATTTTTGTTTTGCTTTCTCTTACAAATGGAAAGAACAGCCTAAAATGTGTTACATGTACAAAGTCTAAATGTTCTTTTCTACTCTTCTGCTAGCTCCTTTTCGACGTGTTTTTTTAAAACCTTTCTCAAAATGGCAGTGCTTTTAGAGGGGGGGGCGTGGTGGTGTCTCACAGGGGCGAAACTAAGTATTTACAGAGCTTTGTGAACTATACAAACAAATGGCAGGAATCTATGCAAAATGCACAACATTGCATAATCATAATAGTCAATTCATCTTAAATAAGTTTAAACAAAAGATGCGTTTCTTGTTGTAGGTTTTTTTGTTTTTTTTTTTTTTGTTTTGTGTTGTTTCTTTGTTTTGTTTTTTTTTTGTTTTGTTTTTGTTTTAAAACACATTTGCTTTTGGTTGGGGCAATGTTTTCGAACAATTTAAGTTGGCTCACGATTTTTTAGCTTAATAATAAAAACTAATCGTAGGCTTCATAATTATAATAGTGATAGTGGTAATCATAAAAACATTTACATTTCAGGCATAAAACTAACTCGGGGTAATAATTAAACGAGTTACCGGGAGTTACAAGGGACATGGCTCATTTTTGTTTTTTGGAAAATGGTAATTTTCATTTGCATGTATGTTGCTTTTTTTTACATTTTGCGCGCAAATGCACTTAGTAATATTAGCGTAACAATTGCGCGCATGATTTCCGTTTTTTGTATTTTTTTGTTATGGCGGGATATAGGGAGGATTGGGAATTTTTAGTTTACAAAAACATTTGCACAAAATGTAGAGTACTACAAATTACTTCACAAGTTTGAATGCGCATGATGAAGGAAAAAAAAAAAAGGGGGGAGGGGGGGGGGGGGGGGGGGATGATAACAGAGGTTTAGAAACGTATGTTCGCGGTCCTTAAATATGTTAGCATAATTTCATACTTCAGTTTATCGCTCTTTTAAACCATTACAATCTACTTATGAGTTTACAGTCATACTTATATCATTTTAATTAATATATATCTATATTTATATATTATTGTTTGCTTTCATGTTTATTTTAGAAACAAAATGAAATACATTTAGCGCAATCAGAGGCAAAGTTTCTAACGCTAGGCTTAGTAGGCTTTCATCGCTCTCCTAATTTAAGCGAGACAGCAGTTTAAAAGAAAGTCTAATCGTCAGTTATTTTGGAACTGCGAAGGAGCTCGGTAGAGGGGATGGATGGGTGGGGATGGATTAGGGGCGAGAGTCTGCGATATTAATTAGAAAAATGCAGCATAGTTTGCAATTAACCTGAGAAAGAAATGTAATTCATAAATATTGCTAAATCGTAACTATCTCTTTCTCTTTCTTTCTCTCTCTCTCTCTCTCTCTCTCTCTCTCTTTCACATACACAATATCTTCCTACATTCTTTCGTACATTCCTATCGCTCATCACGCTCGTTTTGCTGTTGATCCTGACCGGATCTTGACGAACTAGAACTGCTGCTGGCAATGGATGACTCAGAGGATATGGAAATGATTGATATTGCTGACGACGAGTTCACCAACGTGCCCCGCAGTGGAGGCAGTCGGTTGTTATTGCTGCCGCTGCTGCTGCTACTGTTGCTGCAATTGCTGCTGCTGTTCGACGCATTGCCGGCACTGATGGTGGGCGATCCGCCCACCGATTTCTGGTAACGATTGCCGCCGCCCAGTCGCAGATGCTGCGGCCGCTGCTGGTGGTGTTGCTGCTGGTGGTGATGCTGTTGCCGGTGACTGCCATGATTGCCATGGCTGTGGCTGTGACTGTGATGGTGCTGCTGGTGATAGTTGGAGGATGAGTTGGAGTTGGACTTGCTCAGTTGCTGTTGCATCGGCGGTGGCACGTAGTACTGCTGGTGGTAGTAGTTGCTGGAGTTGTGGTTGCTCCGCTGATTGTAATTGCGTCCGCCACTGCCGTCACTGCCTCCCCTGCCGGAACCCGAACCGGAGCCACCGCCACCCGATCCGGTGGAGCCATTACCTCCAGAAATCTCTTGGTGCTGCTGCTGTTGCTGCTGATCCTCCAGCTCGGGGTCCATTTCCTGGACAGTGATGTGGGCGTTTTCCGGCTGTTTTGGTGGTGAAGAGGTTATATATGTGTGCTTGCTG